TACAGCAGCTGTTAATGTCCCTATTATTATCTGTTAGCAAGTTCCCGATCTTGGGTTCACGCATTTGCATTTGTCGTGTCCCTGTTTCCGTAATCGATCCCTTAACATAAACAATACATTTACATGACGTGTTCCCTACATTTTGTTGATAATTCCCACGAATGAGTTTGTGAATGAAGACATATTTATCATAACTGCATTTAGACTGGACTTTTAACCATTTTAGTGTTTGAATATGCGGGTGAAGTGATCAGTTGAATTCCAAACAATTGAACAATAGTTAAGCATACTTAGAGCGAAAATTTACACAACCGTGATTTTAGTTTCAGTAATGATTTGATTTCTTATGTAGTTAAGATATATCAGTGTGCTCATTACTTCCATGTGTGCTGCCAAAGTGTGTTTCAAATGTCGTATATCTGTCTAAGTGTACTCCTAGATTTTTTCACTGAGATGTTAGGCTTGGTGGGGCAGCCCTCAAATTCTATGGTTGTGTCATTGGGAATTTTAACTATGTTCTATCGACTACCTGAATATACCTAACATTTTAAGTGGATTTACGGTTATTAGTGTTGAAAATATATTTTTACTTGTATAAGAGAATGTTTCCTATGTTTTATAGTTGTTTACTGATTCATTATGAAGAAACTGTGAATCATCGGTGTACTGTACTAAAAGGCAGTTATGGGCTATGGTTGATAAATCCTACATGGAAATTGTAAACAGGACTGGCCCTAAAACAGATCTTTATACATTTTCATTTATTCTCACCGCGTTGGCCCTTGCACTGAAATAACTGCCAAACCTAAAGGTATAAATTCTATGATCTATTATTTTGTCAAGGAGAATCTGATTTGATACTGTTCAGAACATTTAGAAAGGTCGCACAATGTGAACAAATTTACCTGACTATAGTTAGTTATAAATTTCATCAGTAATCTGTAGTATCGCTGTTTCAGTGGATAACCTGTTGTGTTTTAGATAAGAGGCTATTGGCCTCCAGGAAACTTGCTAGTTGATTTGCTACATTTTTTTCAAGAACTTTGAATAGTATAGAAAGTATAGTAATAGGGCGGTGATTATTAACGTCGTCTATATCTCCCGACTTGAAAATTTGTATCTTTATCTACATAATATGAATATATACAATTACACATATACACACACTATTCACACACACACACGCACACCCACACACACACACACACACACACACACACACACACACACACACACACACACACACACACACACACACACACACACACACACACACACACACACACACACACACATGCACACACACTCACATTCACACTCACACACAGACACTCACACTCACACTCACCTACACTCACACACAGATACACACGCACACATACACACACACATATATAGATAGATAAATAGATATATAGATAGATAAATAGATATATAGATAGATAGATATATAGATAGATAAATAGATAGATAAATAGATATATAGATTGATAAATAGATTGATAGATCCACAGACTATATATATCTGTATGTATCTGTCTGTATGAATATGCATGTACATGTATTGCGCAGCGTGATCGGCTCCCGCGCCCGAACCGCCTCCTGCCCAGCGCTGGCCTTCGTCGTCCTCCCGAGGCCCACTTTCCGTTTTCCCTCACTTTTTCGTTCATGTCTTGTATTCACTCTTATTTATTTGGCTTTTATTTGGTGTCAGTGATTTCTTTTGTTCTGGCTCCTTGTATGTTCCTTGCGATTCATACAAGCTGATCGGGGATGTTCTTAACCAGGAAGCCTATAAATGTTCATATAATGTTTTTCATATACTTGTTGTGTTTCAACATTTCAGTTTGCATTTTGTTTTTCTTTTTTCTTAAGATCTCAACTGCTTACTTTCAGCTAACTGCTCAGTCCCTTTTAAAGGATGTCGAGTCTGCCTCTCCTTTGAGATTTCCTTTGAAAAGTTAAAGCTTTATTGCTGGATTACTTTTTGCCCTTACCTCTGTATTACTCTCCCTCTCTCTCTCTCACCCCCCTCCTCTCTCTCTCTCTCTCTCTCTCTCTCTCTCTCTCTCTCTCTCTCTCTCTCTCTCTCTCTCTCTCTCTCTCTCTCTCTCTCTCTCTTGCTATCTTTCTCTCTCTCTCTCACTCTCTATCTATCTATCTATCTATCTATCTATTACCCCCCTCTATATCCCCCCTCTCTCTCCCTCTCTCTTCCTATCTCTCTCTCTCTCTCTCTCTCTCTCTCTCCCTCTCTCTCTCTCTCTCCCTCTCTCTCTCTCTCTCTCTCTCTCTCTCTCTCTTCTCTCTCTCTCTCTCTCTCTCTCTCCTCTCTCTCTCTCTCTCTCTCTCTCTCTCTCTCTCTCTCTCTCTCTCTCTCTCTCTCTCTCTCTCTCTCTCTCTTACACTCTCTCTCTCTCTCTCTCTCTCTCTCTCTCTCTATATATATATATATATATATATATATATATATATATATATATATATATATATGTATATA